CTTATCTTCTCATCACTTCCTCTTCTAAACGCCTTGAAATTGGCCTCTGTCTCTTTTTAAGAACCACCTTCCGCTTCTGTCCCGCCCATTTAGGTGCGGGGGAGGGGGGCTGCTATGATGCAGTTTATTTGGCATCTGAAAATACATTTCATCAAAGGTATTTTTAATCTGAAAAGAGCATCACTGAGTGAGAACTAATGTTGAGAGCTCAGCAGACAGTTTAAGTTTCACTTTCACTTTCACCCGAGAGCCTGCAGGAGTCATGGGTGGGGTATGCGAGGAGATGGAGGGGGGTACTCTTCCATGAAGAAGCTCGGCTTAAAGACACGTCCCAGGGGCGTTCCTGGTACCAAAAGGCGTTTCTGGTCCCCACCTGTCGTTTTGCTCCTCAGCACGGCTGCCTAAAAACACTGTAGGATTTCTCAAACATGCATGATTGAGTCAAAGCAAGGCTATGGGAATGTTTTTTTTATGAGAGTATAACATTATAACATGATATAAAACTCAAAAAAGTTGATTTTACATGATATTGCCCCTTTAAAAAAGCAATAAAATACCATAAATACAACAATAACACACAATTAATCAAAACAAGAAAATGGATTAAACAAATCCAGACACACAAAGGAAAAAAAAAAACTCTGTCCACTGGTTTGTCACTAGAGTTCAGCAGCAGGACGATGATCCGAAGCACGGTTACGAATCATCACCAGTTATCAGAAGTGCTTGATTACAGTTGTTGCCGCCAAGAGTAGCACAACCTGTTATTAGGTTTAAGAGGCAATTACTTTTTCATACAAAGCCAGTTTGTTTGGATCATTTAAAAATAGCATTCATCTTCATTCACTCGTGTTGTCCTTCACTTATATTGTAATTTGTTTGATGAATGTGACAAAGCAAGAAATCTGTAAGGGGGTGATTACTTTTCTCACCACTGTATGTAAAAGTAGTTATGCAAATTCAAACATGTAAATCRTGTTTACTTGGAGGCCCAAGTGTCTCCACTCCTAACGTCACACACACCAAACCACTTTCTTCTGCCCTCACAGCCATTTAGGAAGCYGAAAGTGAACACCATTTTATACCATTAGCACAGCTTGTAATGCATCAACATCATTACAGCTGCTGGAAAGAAGCACGTCGTTGCGAGATTGTGACATTAGCTTTTAGTTTAAAGCATTTCACTGCACCCCGAAGACTTTTTCTGCGTGGCTGCAAAGAGTTTTTTTCCCTTTGATTTCTAAAACTAGATCAAATCAAACTGGAAATTAAATTAGAAGGGTTTTCTGTGAACAGTTTCTTACTCAATCTGTTGCCTCAACATTTCACAGAATTGCATGAAAAATAATTTGTCCTTTTTTTGTGAACAATAATTTTAAAAAGTACATTATAAACTTGTTCGTGCGAATATATTGT